CAATAGATATGCAATCAAATGAGACTTGAATTACTTTCCCAGTCCACCACAGATTCATTTTGTTTAACAAATTCCACACAAATATAAAAAATACAAACAACTATATACACCATGAAATTACCTCTTGAATCCCGTTTTCCTCCAAGTCATCTCCACGGAGTAACGACTGACATGTAATCAGTACGAATGTTATAATACATCATTAGACATTACAACTTAGGTAACCGATTTTTATCTACGCTAAACATTTCATATATGAAGATCAACAAACACTGTTGATACCTTAATGTCTAGCTTCATATAAAGAGATGGGGCTTCCTCCCATCGGCTAGCCATCTCATGAATTTCGTTTTGAGTGAAACCGTGAACATTCCTTGCAGCACAGCCCTGAGACCCACAAGAAAGAGGAAATATATTGAATGATATCCCTAGCTCACATTAGTTTCCCCTGTTGTTGGTTTTGAAATTCAAAACCATATAATTTCTGTCTGAGTTAAAGTTAAGACTAGCCAATTAAGTTATACAATATATAATTTGTTTCCGTATGCGGTGAGAATAGGACATACGGTAATACACTTCTAAATATTAAATACATAAAGAGACAGGTCAAATACTCCAGTTTGCATGCAAAAGTATAACGGAAAGGATAAACAAAATCCCTCAAAGAAACTCACTGTTGTGTCCTTGTATTCAGCTTCTAGTAGATAAACTTCATACCCCGACCTCTGCAACATAACAAATTTAAGATGATGTTAAGCATTGCAAGATAGATGAAACGACAATACTCAACTATGAACAATAATGTCAGACTAAATAACCATGATTTATATTAATTCAGGAAGGCTTTTGCATGTGATTATTTACATATATTCATCCACATTCGGAAAAAGTAAACATGTAGTATGCATCGATTTCACGAGGAACAATAAGAATGAGAATGACTCTTGCATGATGGGGAGAACAAGACGTAAAACTATAGTTGGAAGCCTGGAACATGCATAAGAGTATCAAGTACAAAACCCCAAAATGAAAAAATCTATCTAATTTATATATGAATTCAGATATCACCCAAAAATTTGAAGCACGTATAAATATCAGATGTTTCGTACTCAAACTACAGTAAAAAACAGTTGATAAGAATGAGCATTCAAAAATTTAAAGATAGAAGAAACAAAAGGATCTAATCACATTGGACAACAAAATGCCAAAATCCCATAAGGATTTTCCAATAATTCAAAACAAACCAAAAAGAGCCATATATCAAACTCCTACAGCACTAGTTTCAACGGAAGTTGATTTCAGATTATGTTATCAACTATTACCAGGAGGTCATGAAGACGCCAAAAGTAAAAATCAGGGCACAACAGACCATTATCACAAGCACTTAAATATGAAAACAACAGTGTTCCCGAAAATTCATGCCATCAGCTCATATAAAGATACTAGTATCCGAAGTCGTGACAATGCAACATCAAATGAGATCCAAGAAAACATCAAGTAGGGCTAATCTACGCAAGATTAACTGAAATAATCGTCAAAGATACATATAATTTTTGGTTTTTTTTTTTCATGTGCAAAATCATTACAAGTCATGATATAATAAACCAATATTCAATATTAAGACAATCTAAACTACATATAAATAATCCATTGAATGTAAATTGGTCACTGCAACCCACTCAAATATTATAGGAATCAGCCACTGTATATCAAACACAAAGTCAACACTCGAACATTGCAAAAAGAAGTTGAAGGGAATAGAATATACTTTATTTCATTAGAACACAAATATGACTTTACTGAACTACTAAAGAATTACATAGAATAAAAAATGAGTAGACAAATTTGCCAAAACCTATAACCCTGAACCAGAAATTAAAAAAGATGACAAATTGGCATACTTTGATCTATTAACTTTACGAGCAGTGAATGCCATAAGGAAATATGACAAAGTGGTTCACCAAAGAACATCGTCATCAAGAAATATATCAAATCAATTCTGTTCACAATGTTCTACAAAGAAAGAACGATGGCTGATAATACTTATCCAATAATCGACTACAGACCATTGAGCTCAATTCTGTTAAGTAACTTACAACCCTTTCCAAGCTAATGCCAGTTGGAAATCTATCAGACTTGAAGTGGAAAAGAGGACTATGCAAGCTTATACTTGAAACAGAACTTTCTATTCATAAAACTCATTTGTGAAGTGCTAATGAAAGCATGAGAGTGACTGGGAGTCATGGTTTTTTATAACTCTTAAGTTTTAATCTGTATAAATTTTGGCTACTCTAATAAGATAGAGAGGTCTCCGTAAAATTGATCAAATTTCAAATACAATTAGACAACTATAAACAGGTTACCCTCGTCTTTTGTAATTCTAGTATGTGAAAAAAAAAAATAAAAATAAAAATAAATAAATAAAGACTACAGGACATAGACGACTAAAGCCCCAGAAAGGAAAACATGCACACCGATAGGCCACATTAAGAAAGAATTGAGAGTATACCTTTGCAGTTGCCCAAAACTGAGTAAAATCAGCTACCCGCAGATTGCGGTCATCCACTAAGACGAGTGACAAATACCAAGAAGAAATGGGTCAATTGCCGAATAAACTGCATCTGTAATTAGTCAACTCCAGCCAGTGCAAAGCCCCGCATTACCACTTAATTTATATTACAGCTACATTTTTCAACTACTTTTGTGTGCTTAGGTGCTAAAATTATCAGAGAATTTTATTTTTATCATCTACAAAGAAGTGGAACTACATTTTGAAGTGAAAAATAATTCACTGTCGACACATGCATAAGCTAAGCTAATCCAGCTAGCAATACAAGAAAGATAAGCATGACTTCTGTTATAAACAGAGCAGTACCATTGACGGTCAATAAAACAATGAAAAGCAAAGGAAGAAATGGGAACAAAAAATTTTATATCATTGCATCACGAACACACTAACCGATGATGCTAATTACACAACCAATGCTTTTAGCAAACATATATTTGAAACACAAGATGAGCTTTAAAAATTGTGAAAATGATAAAAATGACAAAATGAATCTAAATTGTGCTTTGTCCACACACAGATCATACCAATCACAAGAGGAAACACCCCTTCAACAAGGGTCTTTTTAAATGCCTTCAACATGCTTGACCTTGACATGTACGCCTGTAAACATAAACAATGTTAGAAAGAAAAAAAAACACGCACACACACACAGACACAGATGAGGGAGATGAATATGAATGTACACGGACATAGGCAGAGCGGACAGATCTAGGTAGGTGAAGTGGAGACGCAGTGAACTCGGGAAGCCGGCTCGGTCGGTGGTGCGGTGGAGCAGCGCGGGTGCGTCGGGTGAGGAGAGGACCAGCGATGGGGGGAAGGGGGAAAGTGAACGGAGAGCATCTGCGTCGGGTGATGAGAGGAGCAGCACAGTGTCAGGTTAACGGCGAGACAAATCGCCGGAGAGCACAGCGTCAGGTTAACGGCGAGACAAATCGTCGGAGAGGAGTGTAGAGGCGGCGGCGGTGAAAATGAAGTGCAGAGGCGGGCTTGTGAAATTTTTTGTAAGATTGAAAGGAGATGAATTAGGGTAACACAAAGTGTGTAGATGTAAAATTGAGTTAAGGGTAATGTAGTAAAAGCACATGCTAAAATGGTTAAAAAGATGTTTTTCACAAAAAGTGGCTAAAATTTGTGTTTTGTAAAACTTTATGGCTATTTAATGGTATTAACACATCTATATATCTTTTGCACTTTCCAAATTACACCCAATTTTTGCAAACACAAATTGTGTGTATTTACACCCAATTTTTGCACTTTGTTTGTCAGTGCTTGTGTTGTTCCGGCAGTGGAGTAGGTGGATTGGCTAAGGTCAGGGAGCAAGAAGGGTCTTTGAAGAAATGACAGATTTTTATCCCTAATTGCGATGACCAGGTGGAAGCCTTGTTACAGGGAGTTCATGCAGCATTGTGGAAAGCTTTTAATTGGGATTGGAAAGAGGTGAATATTATTACAGATGATGAAGTTGTGTCCCAAAAGTTGAAGGCTGCAGAACCTTTTGCTGGAAATGCCAGGATTATAGCTGATGATATTTTCTTT